GAGCCCATGAGCCCAATGTGCCTCTGCCCAGGCTTTGTCTCCCATCACTGATTCAGTCAATCCCTCTCCATCCCTCGGTTTGAAGCAGAAATAAAGCCACTGACTCAACTGGGTGCCACTGACTCAACTGGGTGCAACGGGGCTTAATTACTCTCTCTACAGGGCTTACAATCTGCAGTGATCGAAGGTGCGGCAGTGTGAGCTCAGCTGCACAGTTTGAGGGAACAAAGAAAGTTCCTATGGCTCAGAGCCCCAAGTTCTATGCAACTGTGAGAAAGGGCTGCGAGAACAGGCTCTTTTTTTCAAGCTCAGTGCTAATGGACCCATTGTTTCATGTAAAGGTTTCTGCTGCTCTTGTAATAGTGTGTGTGACATTTGCAGCACGCTTTGTTCCATGAGCAAAGTAATTTGAGATAGTTTATTATCCTTTGGAGACTTTGCTGCTCGCTGTTTAACTTCCATGTGACTGGACCCTGGAAAAATCCCTCAAAATAGCGTGCAAGCCTAAAAATAGGGATGAATATGCTGTTTCTTAGGAATAAAATAATGAATGCAGGGCACTATGATAGGAAGAGCTGAAACATCAGGAAAAGCCATTTACTGCTTCCGCTTTCTCTCCAGAGCCTCCCAAGCACATGGGAGGTCTCAGCATTGAGCCGAGGTGCCGCTTTGCTCGCATGAGATGCTGCAGTTTGTTTGGATCTGTTTCAGGGGAACAAAGAAACAGTGTTTAGTCAGCATGTTCTGAATCACTGGTGAGAGGAATCACTTCCAAACTTGAATTTATTCTGTTGGGATGGAGTGGAGATGTGAGGAGTGGCAACTGTTATCCCAGGGTACCCATGGCTCCCACTCCGCATGGCTCATTCTGCTGAGCAGAACTCATGGGCTGATCCAGCGGTGAGTTCTGCGTCGGGAACCACCAGAGTTCACTGAGCCACAGCTGTGGGAATTGTTTCTTCTTGCTGTTAAACCACAGTCACTCAGGGTTGAAATAAAGCAGAAGTCGGTGAAGGGTGAGCAGCAGTAATTTGGTGCGAGGAGATGGATTGTGGGGACCCTGAGTGCTGGCCCTGGGCAGCAGGGAGTTGACCGTGCTCACCTGCTCTGGTGGGATCTGTGCCTCTGGTGGTTCGGGTGCTGAGCTTCACACCCCGCCTGAAGGACAGCTGTCTGCAGCAGCACTGCACTTTGTGCGGCCTCGGGGAGTGGCACTGACTGTGGAATAGAGGAAAAGACCAGAGCAGAATGGAATAGGGTACGATGGAATGGAATGAAACAGAACGAAAGGGAATGGAACTGAATGGGATGGAATGGAGTGGAATGGAATGGAATCGTGTAGGGTAGGGTAGGGTAGAACAGGTTGGAATGGAATGGAAAGAAATGGAGTGGAATAGGATAAGAGAGGACTGCACAGTGCAGGACAGGATAGGGTGGAATTGAATGGAATATAACAGAATAGAATGGAATCTTGTGGAATAAGATAAGATAGGATTGGAAGGGATTAGGATGAGATGGGATGGGTTGGAATAGTACAGAGCAGAATGGAATTGGAGTGAGATGGGATGGGGTGTGGTGGAATGGAACGAGATAAAATGGAATGGAATGGAATGGAATGGAACGGAACGGAACGGAACGGAACGGAACAGAATAGAATAGAATAGAATAGAATAGAATAGAATAGAATAGAATAGAATAGAATAGAATAGAATAGAATAGAATAGAAGAGAAGAGAATGGGATGGGATGGAATGGAATGGAATGGAATGGAATAAAGTGCAGTTCAAAGGGACCTTCAAAGATCATTGAGTCCATCTGGTTACTTCAAAAATTAATCAAAAATTAAAGCATATTAGTGAGGACATTGTCCAAACGCTGGCAGGCATAAAGCATCACCCAGCTCTCCAGGAAGCCTGTTCCGCGTTTGACCACTCTCAAGTTAAAGAAATTGTTGCCAGTACCCAGTCTGGTTCAGCTCTGTGCCATCCTTGCACTCCCTTCAGTTACCAGGAGAGGAGTTCATCACCTCTCTCTCCTTTTCCCCTCCTCAGAAGAGAGAATCACCTTTTGGCCTCCTTTTCTCCAGGCTGGACATCCTAAATTCTTGGCCTCAGCTTCCCAACCAAGATGAGTCAGGACTGTAGCTCTGCAGAGCACTCTGCAGCCAGAGGAGGACAGATTCTCTTCTTGCCTATATCCAAAATGAAACGTCTGTCATCCCATCGAACACCCACACTGAGATGCTGAAGAGCCCAGATGGCCAAAAAGTGTAATATACAGGAGAAGCAGTATGACTGAGCGTGCCAAAGACCCCATCAAAGGGCTGGCCTTTTAAATTGCCTTGTTTTCATGCTCGGATGAGTTGCTAACCTTCCAATAAACACCAGAGTCATTATAATAAAAATGTGGAAAATGCTACCATTAAACCACGCCGGTTTATTTTTCAAGTGCCTCTTTCTGGGACATCAAATTCATTTAGATCATTCTCAAAAGCCACAAATCCTGAATGGGTGCAGTAATGCGTGTGGTGGGAGGCGAGAGCACAACGTGCGTTACATCGGGTGGCGGCAGGGCTCCAACAAGAGCTGGCTGGGTTTATTGCAGGAGTTAAGGTGTGACGCTCAGGCTGCTCACCCCTCTTGCCCCTCAGTTTTGCAGATTGAAGTTCTGGTTCATACTCTGGTGCTTGAGCCCTGGAGAGATGTGGAACCAAGCACAGATCCGTGATCAGGAGGAAGCGGAGCCTTTCCCTCACAAAAAGATATTTTGGTCCAAAACTAAAGAAGAATCTTTCAGCAGCACAACCAGGTGGTTAGATCCCAATCCTCTTCACTTCTACCTATTTGGAGTAACTTCACCAGTGGTTAGCCTGAGCACTGGGGGAGGGGAGCAATCTTGCCTCAGCCCCCATGTTGTTGGTAAGTATGATGTTGGGGTTTACTGTGCTAATTAAGTGAGAACATAGAAGGGGGTGTTTCGAAAGGTCTTGAGATTGGCTTGACTCTGCTTGGGTGAAAAGAAGCCCCTGGAGTTACAAGAGTGACCCAAAAGGCTGACATCTTAATAGTGGGGACCACCTTGGAGCAGTGCAGCAGGAAACCTGCGGGCATGGTGAGGAAAGAGTTCAGCTCAGTTCCCAGGGAGCTTGTCAGCATGACACGTTATTCAAGTTATGCCAAAAATACGTGGAGGAGACACTTCAGGCAGATGTCTGGGAATGCAAAATTTTCTCTCTTGGTAGGAAGTTTGAGCCCACGTCTGCACATTGATGCAGCACAGCACAAGCTGCTGAGCTGCCTGCTTGACTGGGAGCAGGAGGCAGAACTCTGCCTGTTCCAGACCTGACATCGGTTGCTTGGGGCTCTTGATCTCGGGGTGAGAGGACGTATAATGGCTTTTTACTGAGGGAAATAAACCCAGCAGTGTGTGTTCCATCCTGAACCGAGGTTTGATGGCTGGGGCTGCGATGTGATTCTGTGTGCTGTACTGCTGCCATTCATTAATGGCTCTGCTGAAACACAGGAGCGATGCGGCCTTTCATCATCTCCAGAGCAATGAAAGTATGGCAAAAAATAGCCTGTCCATCTGCTTGGGATGGATGAAGCCAGGCTCAGTTCTTATTCTAAGTCCAGGTGCTTCCAGGAAGTTACGCCATGGATAAGTTTGACTCTCTGATTCCAGATCAATAACAAAAACATTTCCTGTTCTGCACGCATCTGACTTCTCATCATGGGAAAAGGCCAGAACTCTCCTCTTAGCAATTAGGAATTGTACTCCTTTCTGGAGGAGCACAGAACCTGTGTGTGCTGAGCATGTGGGGCACAAGAAAGCTTTGCTCCCAAGGAACTCCCAGCATAGGCTGGAAGGAAGAGGCTGGGAGCTGGGTAAGGGAAGCCTGCCTGCATGGGAATGGGTTGAAATAACAGCAGAGAGTGAAATAGGCACACGGGAGCATGCAAGATGCTGAGAGGAAAATGAATCAAGTCGCTGTTCCAAGAGATGGTTTAGACGTAGATCAGCATGATAAGCCAACAAACTGGGTAATAAACAGGAGGAACTAGAATTGCTCTGATGAGATAAATTTGACCTAGTTGGTTTTATTAGGGGATCTAGAGGGGAAAAGTCACCTGAGGGAAGTTGTGAAATTAGTGATGACAACCTATTTAAGAAGAACTGAGTTGCAGAAGAGGAAGGGCAGCAGCACTCACGAACCCCACTGCAAACAGCTGTGAATGCAGCAGAAGTGCAATAGGTTTTGGGAGGAGGAGCACAAGGTGTTCCATGGGAATCAGGTGTTGCAGTGGCTCCTCCAGGCCATGTCCCTGTGCCTTGCAGCTGGCCCTCAGTGAGGCTGGTGGTGGTTGCAGATCCCCTTTGTGGTTCCTCACTTGCGGTCAGTTTAAGATGTTTCTCTTCCTCCAGCAATAAATGCTGCTGCTGTCGGGCTGGTCCTGAGGGCGAAGGGAGAATGCGGAGCTGAAGAGAAGTGCACAGGGCTGTGGACAGATGCTTGGCACCATGCAGAGGATGCTTAGGGCTGAAGAGGGGAAGCTAAAATTCGCACGGAAAACCCCCAGGGCTGTGAAGAGGACCGTGGGGACGATGCTTGAACCATGAGTTGTATGCTTGGGGCTGCAGGGAAATGCTCACGGATAGGAGAGATGCTGGAAGCTGTAGGGGAGATGCCTGGGGATGTGAGGAGGATGCTCAAGGAGGGAAGGGATGATGAAGCTGCAGGGAGGATGCTCGGGGCGGCACGATTGGTGGTCGGTGCTGCAGGGGATGCTCACAAGGGACGCTCGGGGCCACGGGAGAGGGCGAGGAGGGGCGGGCGGCGGGGAGGAGGTTCGCGGGGCAGGGGCTGCCGGGGGGCGGCCGGGGGCTGCCGGGGCGGAGCCGCGGGGTGCCCCTCCCGGCTCCAGTATAAACCGGCGGGGAGCGGGCGCGGGGCTGCCTTCTCTGGGGCGCCCGGGGCCGCCGAGACGCCTCTTGCCCGCAGCCATGGCGAGGGGGCAGCTGTCGGGGGGCGCTTGGGGGGCTCTGGTGCTGTTGGGGCTGATGCTGCCGGCTGCACCGGCGGGAGCTTGGTACAAGCACGTCGCCAGCCCGCGGTACCACACGGTGGGACGCGCCTCGGGGCTGCTGATGGGCGTCCGCCGCTCCCCGTACCTCTGGCGCCGGGAGCTGCCGGCAGAACCTCCGCACCGCCCTGGGGGCACCGCGTCCGCCGCAGCCCCGCAGCCCCCGGGGAGCCTCGCGGGGGACCCTCCGCCACCGCCGCCCGTCCCCGGCCGCCTCCTGCAGCGCCTGCTCCGCCGGGGCTGGGGCTGGGGGGGGCCGCGTCCCGCACCCGCCCGGCCACCGCCCTCCGCCCGCGGAGCTCAGGTAAAGCCGGGAACCGACGGGCAGAGCGGCCACAGGGGTGCCGGCGTGGGGCTTGGGGCGCGGGGTCGGTGTTCAGGAGATTTGGCATCCTGGGTGCGAGGAGCGTCTCGCTGCCTTCAGCATCCCGGCATCGGGCGGTACGGAGTGAAGGGATCCCGCGGGACAGCCCGGCTCCTGATGGGGGGGGGGGGGGAGGTTTGCATCCCCATCATCGGGTGGGTGCAATCGTGTGAGTTTGCAGAAGTCTGTGCTGCATTTTGACACTTGGACCACGAGGTCCCAGCGTAGTGAGCTGGGATGGTCAGATCTGTTCAGAGAGGCTACGCTTGGATTTTAGGGTGAAAAAAGGGGCTGGGTGATTTCTGTGCCCCTGACTGGGGGATGGCATGCCTGCACCCCGAGCTGTCAGTGCATCACAGGGGTGTTTGTGGGGTTGAGGAGCTCCCAGCATCGCCCCTCCCAGATTCCCTCTCCCTGCCCTCTCTGCTTTGCTCAACTGCATGGGACTGTTTGAGGGCTGTTTCCAAACGTTAAACCTCTTTCCTCTTACGTCAGCAAGGATCCAACATCCAGCTGAAATCCAGGGATGCTTCAACATGTTGGATCAGCCCCAAAACACGTAGCCACATCTCCTTCCCCCTTCCTTTTTTTTTGGTGGAAATCTAGGAATTGTGCCTTTTTGGGAAAGTCCAGGCGTATCAGCTGTGCTACACCTGTGCTGCCCTGGTGAATCCTGGCTGGAAGCAGAGGCAGAGTGGTGCTGGGCACCACATCTGTGGCCCAGACCTGTGTGTAGGATGCATTGCTCTGATTTCATGGTAAAATCTCCTCTGGAGCCTTGCAGGCAGGGCTGAGCCCAGGACTGGGGTGTTCATAGGGTTGCTTGCAGCTGCAGAGCTCAGTCTGCATACACAGTGTCAAAGCGGGGCAGAAAGGGTCTGCAGTGATGGTAGGTGAGCTCTGAGCCCACAGCAGGGAGCACGAAGCGTGGGTGGTATATAATAATCATAATGTAACACAGGGTCCCTTTTCTCCTTGCAGCCTCGCCCGATTGAAGACATCGCTGCGCTGCGCTGAAGGCCGGGCAGGGAAGCTGCAGGAGCTGAGCAGTGCCAGCTGCCCACCGTGGGGACTTTTCAGTGGCTGCTGAGTTCCATCGGCGCTTCTCCGGCTGCTCTGACCTCTGAAAGCATACAGACAATTGCATTCAAAAATAAATAAATAATACACGTATCAGATTTTTTCTCACCCACTGTCCAAGTGCAGTGGTAAATTCATCTTGTTTTCAGGTCAATTTAGTGCTATGAACTTGGGGAGAAACCAACAGGGAAGATATTTATTTTGTTTATTTTTTTTTTTTAGATTTCTGTCCTTGCTTGTTTGCAATATGACACAAACACATACTGTTTGCTTCCTAGGATCTTGCCCTCATTAAACTGAGACTCAATCAAAGGAAACGTGTGTCATTGTGCAATCTTCTTATCCTTTTAGCATAGGTTGGTGTGGCTCAGCCAGGGCAGGCGCTGCAGCATTCTGGTCACTCCCAGATTTTTCTGACATGATTTAACTTCTCGATACAGTTTTTTGGTTTTTTTCTTCCTGCAGTGTTGTGGTGAATTACTTTCAGTGCCCGTGAGGGAGTTGCTGCCAGGCTGGGTGTCAGTTCAGATGTCAAAGATCGAGCCAGGACTGAGGATGGCTCTTGTGCTGGAATCCTCACTGAGTCCCCTCTCAATTTTCCCAGAGCGTTCAAGTTTCTGTTCATCACTATAACAGGATGGTACATGGATGGCACGAATGATGTGAGATTGCCATTAGGGCACTCGAACAAGGCTGTGTCTGCTGCACTGCCCATCAGGCATTGGAGCAGCCAAAGAGGCAAATTTCTGCTCTTGATGGAAGTGAGTGACAACAGGAGGTGAGAAATGCAAAGGTCAGTGTTGCACAGGGGATGCAGAGAGGGCGATGAAGGGTGCTGGGGTGGGAAATGTGGCTGCATCGTGCAGCAAAAACACACTGCAATGCTCCAATATTGGGGCAATCGCGGTGAGACTCTTGGTTAACCTCCAGCCTTCCACTACTCACCTCATAAAATCATTCCTCCTGCAGCTGTGAAGCATGGGCTGATTATTTCTCACCTGGGGCCACAAAGTGATTTCCTCTGTGCTCTGAAGAAGTCTGGGCCTTCCCTGGGGGTCAGCAATCCCAGCCAATGGGAAGAAGCCTTCCCAAGGTGTTTAATTACTCCTTTCCCACGGGCACTCTCTCCACGGGCACCCTCCTTTATGAGCAGCCTCAGGAGAGCTCTGCCTCTCTCCTGCCTGCAGCCATATGGGCTGTGGATGGGATGTGGAACCCTAAAGCTGTCCTATGGAGACTCTGAAATGAATTGCAGCCTCAGGGGTTGTGGGGAGGCTGTGAGCAGGAGGTGCTAGGTGTGTGCAGTGGCACACCACAGCTTTGCCATGCCATCTTGTGGCCATGGGGTGCTGTGAGATGAGGGAGAGCAGGAAGGAGGCAGGAGAAATAGGTCTTTATCCTGACACCATGTCCCCATACCACAGTCCCCGTGCAGAGCACAGTGTCTGCTCTCTGCAGAGTCCCTTCCAGAAACGTGAGGCCGTTTGCTATGGCGAGGCCCATCCCATAAGTCCCACAGGGATGGAGCTCTTCTGGGGCTCCTTGCGTGCCATGTGGGGCTCTGCATGCCCAGCCTGGCTCCAGCGGACACAGTGATGCTGCCACCCACCCCTCCATGCCAGTGGGCGCGTTGTGTTCCAGCCCTGCAGCAGACGAACCCTGGGGGCTGCAGTGGGCAGGAAGACATCCCACCCCACCCAGTCCAAGTCTGGGGCGGCTCCACTTCCTTCCCCGTTCCTGGCCTCTCCCAGGAGCCCAGCAGCATCCAGCAGGGCAGCGGGCACAGCAGGGCCCAGGCTTGGCAGGAACAGGCGGCCCAGGAGGAACCGCCACAGTCTCCACGCACACACAATGGACGTATGGCCCCATGTGCTCTGGAGGAAGAAAACTCCCCAAGGAATTTCCTCCCTTCTTAGATCTGCTCCTCGCCCTGCTGAGTTGAGCCTTGCTATGGTGTGGTGATGGAGGGGGTGGAGATCCCTGGGCAGGGCTGGTAGTCCCATTGGTGGCGGATGTCCCTGTGGTGCCAGGCTATGCTGGGTCCTGCAGCCCCTGCTCCATTGGGGCAGCCGTGGGGCTGGCCTGTGGCCTGTCCACACCATCGCGCTTATGCTGCTTTGGGAAACTGAAAGGCCAGAGATAAGGAGTAGGAGATGTACAGAGCAGGGAGATAACGCTATCTCTGTGCTTTCTGTGCTTTAGCCTATTCCAAAGTTGTCCAGAGTGCTGATAAGGATAGAGCTGCTCAGAGACATGACCAGAGATCTCCCTCAGCTGAGCCTGTGGGGTTAACCCACCGAGATTAAATCCAGGCTGAACCACCAGCATGGAGCTTCCATGCTCTCAGCATCCTGTGTCTGGATGAGCACCCCAGCTGCAAGGGGCAGGGCTGATCCCAGGACATCCCCCCCCAGCTCAGACTGCTTCTGTTACTCTTCCACACGTCTAACCCAGGCTCTGGATCCAATCCAGCTCCTATGACTTGAGATGCAAGGAGGAAGCAGCTCCAGTTGAGTGAAATGTGGATTAACACTGAATTTCTCTTCCAGGTCTGGCAACGACCTTGCAGGCACATTCCTGCCCTGGGAGTTCCCCTCTACACTGTTGATATTTCCGTGGACGTGGTCACCTGTGCTGCTCAGCTGCCAGACTCGCCTGGGGTGGGTGCTCTGGGGATGGGTGCATTCAGGGGTGGGTGCTCACAGGGTGTGTGTCCATAGGGTGGATGCCCATAAGGGTGGAAGCTACAAAGATGGGTACTCCTAGGGATGGGTGCTCCAGGGATGGAGCCAACTGCAGGGTCTGGTGCTGCTCTCCCTTTTATCCACGTCTAGCTCTGATTTACTGAGCTTGAAGCAAAGCAAGCAATTAGCATGGAATGGCTATTTAATAAAATGAACAGGGCTAATTGCTTAGTAGCAGAGCCTGTTGTTCTTGGTGCTGTGCCAAGCTGAGCAGGGTGGTAATTGCAAGCATCTGCATCAAGGCTTGGAAAGGCACTGGGCATCCCAATGGGCTCACTGAACCCTGGCACTGCTGTATGCCTAGGCCCCTTCCTGCTATGGCCTGCTGCACCACCTGAGGGCACCAACTGAATTCACAGCCCTTTTAGTGCCGTTTTCCCTGATTATAGTGTGCTGGAATGATATGGACAACATAACATATGGGGAGAGTGCAGGATGCCTTCCTTGGAACTGTATTTGAGTGTATTCTGCCTTACCTCGCAGATATCCAGGTACTCCTTGGATAGGGACAGATGGGGCTGGACTGACACCAGCCACGTTTCTGCACAACACCAAGTGCAGTCAGTCCCTCTCTGGCACAGCACTGATAGCTCTGTTCTCTGCTTGCAAATCCCAAAGGACCTGGGCAGATTCCCATCTGCCAGTTTGTGAAAGAGGCATCTCCCAGCTCCTGGGAGCATCACTGAGTTGTCTGGACTTTCACAACTCACAAAGCATGTTATTAATCCTCTTGCTGATTAATCCTCCTTCTATCCCTATCAACCTCACTTGTTTACAACTCAATAGTGCCACACACAGAAACCTTATGAAAACGAGATGATGCATTTCAGGAGCCTTCCTGTCCCTCCTGCAGCACAAATGCTTCACTGGGACTGCGCTTATTAATGGCCTGGGATAATTATAGCAGTGACAATGGGTTATCCACAACTGCCTGCAGAGGATGAGTGAACACTGTTGCTGACACCAGCCAGAGGAGGGGAGGAAGAGGAAGAGCATCGCCCCGGCAGCAGCTGCCAGTTCCAACACCAGAGATGCAAACTGGTTCTGATGTGTGCTGCTTGCAGAGGGAAGCACTGGGAGCCTTCATCACCCTCCTCCCACCTGCAGCAGCAGGACCAAAGGTGTGCAAAACCTGAACTGCACTGAAATTGCAGCCCATCATCAGCACTGGGACACCACCCTCCACCTCTCACCCCGCTGCCCTTCCAACAGCCTCAAAGGCAGGGCTGCAGAGCAGAGATGTGCTGGACGTAGGCAGACCTCCGAGCTATGAGACTGTCCTGCTCCTCCCACGCCGGTCTGCCCACATTGCTGCCCTGCTGCAACCTCTCGTTGTGGTGTGTGTGTTTCACATGGGTTGCACAATGTCGGCAGACCGAAAGCAAACAGAGCTGTACACAGGTGTAGTTCCGTGTAACTGCAGCACGCAGCGAGTGGGCTGCAAGCAGATGTCAAATGGAAAGAGCTCCCAGCCCTCCCAGCACAAAGGTCCCATAAATTTCCCCAGCCTCCAGGGGAATGCAATTAGGATCCGGATATTGGGATGAGTCAGAACACACCAAAATTTAAATGGAATAAGAATTAATCTGTGCAATATCTGCTGAATATCTGGGCTCCTGGGGTCCTGCTGCCCTTTGTCAGCTCTGCCTTCAGCTTTGCAAAAGGCTTTTCCAGAGCGGCTCTCACAAATCTCAGCATCTGTGCTGGGCTGCATCTTCTCACACCTGATGCACTCAGTGCCAGGACAGACCCCACTTCACTTCTCTACAGTTAATACAATTAATTTCTTTTTGCTTTTTTTGATGCTTTTTGGGTATAAGCCTGAAAAAAAGTCAACAAATTTAGGTCGCAGTTGAGAAAACGTTTACGCTCAAACAAATAAGCACTTGGGAAACACTCAAACATTTCATTTTTACCTCGTTGAAACAGTATTTCTCCCCCCCTTTTTACTTTGTAAGATACCAAAGCTTCCTAGAAACAATATTCAAAAGGGTTAAAACGTTCCACCCGACCACCCAAAAGATTTTCTCCCTTCTGTTTTTATTGCACTGAATAAAAACTTCTTTTGGTTCAGATAAACTTGAAACAATTCCTTCTCCTCCCTCCCTCTCTCCAGCGTTTCTTTCTTTTTTTTTGGTTTGGCCAGAGAGCGGAAAAATCAATTATTCGCACTCCTCTAAACTGATTAAAAAA